TCCTAATGATGTTATATTTATCAGTGGCAGAAAAATGTGAAAATGACATTGTTAATCATCATTAATCTTAATAACTTATCGTGTTGCATTTTGGTGTGTTTTGCAATGCCAGCAAACAGTGACAGCTTACTTTGAGATCTCTATTATTTGTGCAATGTGACACTTTAGTTGCTGTCAGTCTGTAACATAAAAGGTTGTTTTACTAAAGGTTTAAAATACATTATAACAGCCTAGAGTATGTCAGGGAGAGCTTTCTTACGCTCCCATTGTGAGTCTGCCTCATGGTATTGCCTTCAACTCTCCCTTGGAGTGTAGAACACAAAGGTGCACCTTTGTTTCAGGAGCAACAGGAGGTGCAGGTGGGATTTGGGAACAGGGGAGGAATCTAGCCTGCTTAGGCAGCTCTTTTTCTTTCCAGTTTAAGAAAAATACATCTCGTGCTAAGGTTAGTCTGATAATTTGTAAGTCCCCATGCTTCCAAAGGTATGGAGGTAATAATTCATGACCCTTCCTCTCCTGTTTTGGTAACAAAGCTGGATAATAAATTCATTAATCCTCTTGTTTGAGACCCACAATCAGTTGAAATGTTTGTGCATGGGGCTGGCCTCCTGTCGGGTTCTGCAACTGAAAACTGCTTTTTCAGTTTCCAAAATTTTTTTCCATAAAAGCTGGGCTAGAATAAGGTTTTGATACTTTTTATTTTCTAAGAGCAGCTAGTCTAAATTGCAGCTCTGAGAAGGCACTCTTCTGTTAGCCGCATGGTGAATAACTGCCACATATGGACAGCTGCTCTGTGTGTCTGTGCACGTTTATATCTGGTATTATTTTAGAAAAATTCTAGCAGTCACTGGCACTGTGGCTCTTACTGGGGCAAGAGCTTCAACACCAGATTATTTCCATACTATGGGGGAGGGGGGAACCCCAAACTAATAGCTGGATTAGAGCTGTCGAGGAAACTTTGGTTTTCTTAAATACATTTAGATAACGTTAAGGGCCTGACTTATACCCAACAAAACTAGCAAGTTCAGAGTTAAGGCTTCTCACTCCATCTTGGGTACTGACTGGAGCGCTTGGCTCTCCAGCATGGGTGGTATTGGAGATCACACACTATCCTCAGATCCCTGCTCACCTAGGCAAACCGTTTGCCGCATGAGTGGTGCCGAGACTGTTCCAGGTACGTGTATTTACAATACACCTGCTGTCCTGCGCAAGGTGCCCTGTGTGTCTTAACAGTCTGCTGGTTTTACTGGTATGTTAATGGCCGGTGGCAGCACAGCAGGTGTGGTGGAAAGCCAGCAGAAAAAGGGGGAAGGGTACAGATGCAGTGAGAAGCTTTAACTTTGAGTTTCCTGGCTTCTGTAAGCACAAGTCAGACCCTTAATGTTGTTTTAATGTATTGTTTGTGTTTAATTTTTAGTAAAAGTTTGAACGCCATCCAGGCTACAGAGGTTGCAGTGGATAAGAAGTTTAAAAGCTTTGGTTCAAGATTACAGGAGGCTGCAAGAAAAATTAAAGACATGGAAATGAGGATGGAATGACAGGCTGCTATTTTGCCTCAGAATACTGAAGATTGTAAAGCATTGAGAAATCGAATTCATGACCCTGGAAATCAAGCTCAGATTAAGAAATGTCAGGTTGGTAGGGGTTCCTGAAAGTCTCAAGTTAGGATAAACTGAGATTGTTTTCCTGTAACAAAGGTTCTAGGATGTGGGGGTGGATGATATAATTTTTGTTATCTGTGTTATGTGAAATGCTATGCCATATACTTAAATAAGCCAGCTAAGTGAAATTACTTTTTAAAATTAGTTTGACGTTTGCGATGTTGAATGTCACTTTTGACTGGTTTACAGTTATTTCTCTCTGGCACCGAGTTGCATGATTTACTGTTAATGCAGGCATGGAAAATACTGCTCTTAAATACACATTGCTTTATCCTGCCACTCCAAGGGTCTGCTGTAAAGCCAGACACATGGTGTGGTATGACATTTCTAGATAAGAAATGAGCAGAACGTATCTGAATGATGGAAGAAGTAGTTTTTTGTTCAAAGGGTTCTGATTCATAGTGAAACTGTGTCTTTCCAAATGTAAACTTTAAATAGTGACTGCCACTGTGATTAAGTTACTGCAAGTTTACTTAAGTGTTGAATTATTGTCTGCGATTCAGTGATACGGTATTTAGGCAGAAAGATTGTGCAACAGGAATTCAATGCTGAAGTTCAGAAAGGATTTTGGCAAGCAAAGGTTTGTAGGGTTTTCGTGGTCAAGGTCACTGGATGTATTTGAGTTCTGGGGACTCTTAACAAAGCCCAAGATTCTCTTGGGGAGGGTTTATCCTTCTAGTTGTTTTTCTGACTTTCATTTCTGTGCTTTGGGGCTTGGTCTGGCATGCCCCTTAGCACCAACGTTAGACACAAGTGACTTGGTTGAAATCGATAGATATACTGGCGTGAGAGGGAAAACCAGACCACGCCATTTTGTATTTTTGAGAAATCATTATTTTAAAGGGTTGTCTTTTGTGATACTATATTTCAGAAATACTATAGCCAGAAAAATGTTTTTTTTTTTGAAAGTGGCAGTTTTTAACCTCATCTTCTGTTACCTGTTTGGACTATACGCGCTGTTCTGTTGACAGAGGTGCTTCAGTTATAGCTCTGAGAATCATCTGTGCCATATTTTTCCTCGTTCATCTTCAACAACTTTAGTATCAAAGTTCAGTTTTCTTTTTTTTTTTAATTTTATTTTAGCTAGCTTTCAAATTTGGTGTTTAAATCCAGGCTTCGCTGGACTGACAATTAAGACGATGACCATAACATTTCAGTTGTAGAATGAGCACAGTTATTCTATGCAACATGAATAGGACTTGCAATGTCATTTTTACATTTGTTTCAAGACATAATTGCATTTTATTAATGCTATTACACATGCTATTTTGAAAGAAACATGAATAAGTCTGTAACATGCTTTATTTTAGGGTGTTTCTAAGTAAATCTAATGTGAGGTTTTATAATTAAGTTCCCATTAAAGGGTAGTAATTATTCTCTGGATGACTATGTAGCTTTACATTCTGTATTCGTGTAGTGTTTGTGTCCTGTACCACATTGTTAGTGTGTGGTTTATTTACTAAAAATGACCGTATGAAGGTTATGTGGCCATTTCTGTTTCAAACAGCTAACAATAGTAAGTTAGCAAGATGCCTAATTTTTGAAAATCATACTAAAAAGGCTTCAGATTAATTTTGGTGGCTGGATATTTCTGAAAGAATCTGGGTACCAGAGGTATTTCTAAGCACGTCTGTCACAGTAGAGGTTAGGAATTGATGATTTTACAACAGAGAATAGTTTTCATGGGTGTTGTACTCATGGAAAACTTTGCCGGTGAATACTTTTCACATCTGAATGCCTCTCTGCTATGGTGAGAGTACTGCAGAGTCAGTCCCTTGCCATCGTTGGTTGTTGGGAGACGCTGGGACTAGAACAGAAAAGAGCCAAATGCAGTGACTCTTGTTCTGCCGTCTTCAACTATAAAAACTGTTTGAATAGGTAAATTGGTTAGAGGTGGACATGAAATTTATGGATGCAGGCTGGACAGCTGAGACTATGAGGGTAACAGTCTCCTTAGCTGTACTCCTTCAGCCCCAGACCTGAGCTTGGTCCCAGTGGGGAGGTAATATGCTGCTTCTGTTGTCTTGTGAAAATCTCTTTTCTCGGCAGCTGTTTTTCTTCACCAGGTATCTTGTACAGCTGGGATTCTACTAGTTTTCTATCCACTTAAAATGCAGACAGTCTTTCAGGGCTTGTTTTTTGACACGGGCTGGGACCTAAGATGCAAGGATTGCTTGTAGAAGGTAGTTGGGGAACCTCGGTCTTTTGCATTAATGTTGGACTAACTTGTATTATCAAGCAATAAGCAATGTTTTAAAATTCACACTGCAACAAAAATTGAAATTTGCATACAGGAAACATCTAGCTTGCTTTAATTTGCAGTGTTTAAAACTAATTATTTTAGAAGAGGAAAAAGATCACATACTTCATTCGTGGTTTTGCTTTTCCTTCTCTCTTCAGGAAGTCCCTTTTTTTCCACCCACACTTAACTACTTTTGTGTAAATGTAATGGTTTAATATTATTCCCTTGAGTACTTTTGTATAATTATAGCATCTATACTGTTAAAAAGATGCTCTCTAAATATCTTGTTGTAAGGATTACTTTTCATTTTAAGACTCCATAAAGAGGATATAAATGAAGTCTGCACTTTCAACCAATTTTCCTTCACCCAGAGGTTTAACAAGTATTTCTTTGTCACTCTATGATGTTCCAAGTGTGATGTTGATTTAGAGAGGGATATTTTGTTCATATTTCATAAGAGTTTTCAGTGATGAGTTAAGTATATTGTGTTTGACTGAGCTGTCCAGAATTGTTTGTAAAACTTCCAAGTTTAAGCAGACCTACATAGATCTGCAAGTAACCTGTACACTTGGACATTGGATCTTCAGTAAATTCAAAATTTCACTGTTGTAGGCTTTTTTCAGTTAAATTTTAGTCTCAGCAAGTCATCATCGTCTATGTAAATAGAATACTCAGATTCTCACTGAGTTGCTTTTGATATTCCATAAGCTATACTCTTACAAGCCTGGACAAGATATTTCTGCACTCTGTCTAAAGCTCACAAAGGTGTGGAATCCAATCAAAACATAAAACTTGGATAAGGTCACACAGATACTTCTTAATACTGCAGGAAGGATATATCTTTAAAAAACAAATATACTATTCCCTTAGTGGTTTTATCCATCTTCCATTGTTCAGCCGCCCGAACGTCCATGGCATTTTTTTCTTAGGTCTTCTGTGTTTGATTGATTGATGACTGTAAACTTGTTCCTGTTTCACTAGCTTCAGTCCTTGAAATCTTTTCCTGCCATCAGAATAAACAGACTAGCTGTAACCTATTTTTTTAAATTATATTTGCATGGCTTGAATAACAAGTCTTCTCTGTTTTGTTGTAGGCATTCGACCTCCAATCATGAATGGGCCCATGCACCCACGCCCTTTGGTAGCGTTGCTGGATGGCAGGGATTGTACAGTAGAAATGCCTATTCTGAAGGATGTAGCCACAGTGGCATTTTGTGATGCTCAGTCTACACAAGAAATTCATGAAAAGGTAATATTTAGAGGTATAACTGAGATGTTCTAGAAAACACAAATATTTTAATGATTATGAATGCTGCATGTGTTATGTTGCTATGACAATGTGTTTAGCTATTGCATTTTAGTTAATGGTTGATTACTTTAGTGAGTGAGTTACTGGTCATTTCCAATAAACAATGAAACGTGATGATGAAACAAAGATGAAAATGTTTGTGTGGAAGTATGATTTTGTGTAATGTATCTTTGGATGGATGTTGTCCATATGCTTACCTACTGAATTAGGTTCACGGAGAGAGTTACGTCTGGGAAGATGATATTATTACATGATATTTTGAAATGCTTCTTGGAAACACTGTTGCTCAACCTTCAGCTGGAAAGCCAAATCTCGGTATTGGATTGGCCATGTGAGGAACTTTCAAACTTCTTTGTTTAGCCAAGGAATTGTTCAAATCGGGTTAGAAGGCCTTGTGTGCTGAGAACTGATGCCACAGAAGAGTTTCAAAATGAATGCTAATGCAAAATTTATTTAGAAAATGAATTAGAAAATATATTCTAACTGTATGTTATTCCAGAAGTTCGCACCCTTCCTGGTAGTTTGGGAGCTGTAAAACAACTAGTGATTCTTAATGTTGTGAAAGGTTTTTCTAGTTTTCTTAGATGGATACCAATTTTTCGTGATGATACCCAACAAAGCCAGCTGACCCATACCCCTACATTTTCTCTTCAGACACTTCTTTCAGCATGAAGGCCTCATGTCTACCCCAAGTCCTTCCTGCTCTCTAGACAGCAATAGAACCCTTTCACGTCTGTATTTCTGTAGAGAGAGAATTATTTTTGGTGTAGTTGTCAGCTAGCAGAGTAATGCCAAATATTCCTTCACCTGATAAAGGATGAAGCCAGGCCTTACAGCTTCTGTGGAGGTAAAAAATGTAATAAATATGACAGCAGAGGAGGAGCCAAGTGCAGAGGAGGGCAATCGGAGGCCCTTCCACAGAAATTTATTTTCTACTTCTCCAGCAAAGGTTTGTAATAGACAAGTACAGATCCAAGTATTAACTTAAAGGCTTGTTAGGTAAGTGTCTGTATCCACTTTTGTGCGTGTGGTAATGTATGCTGCTGAGTGTGATTCAGGTGTTAAGGAGTTGTGTCAGCTGAATGAAATTGCACCAGTATTGTTTCTCTACAGATACGTTGTTAGACCTGTCCCATGCTAATTATAGCAGCCCTTGGGTTTGTGACACGTTTTCAGAAGCTTTTCAGTGTTTTGAATTCATAACTGCTGTAATTGTTTATTTACTTTTCATGTTCTTGTAATGTATAGCATTGTTAAACATTTTGAAGTCTCTGTATATGATGAAAGATTTAATCTTTTCTTTGATGCCTTTCTTACAAAGCCAACTACTTGAAAATAATACCACTACTAATTTCCCTGCTGTTATCAGGTGAACAAATCTCATTATCTGTAGTCCATTTCATGTTAGCATCTTCCTGGTGAGAACCTATCAACCAACTATTCAGCTTGTTATTTCTTAAGAAAAATATTTTAATTCTGAAAAAAAAAACATTTTAATTGTTACAGCTTTCAAAATCTGTAATTGGTAGGTGGTAGGTGTATGTGTTTGGTTTTTTTTTCCCCTTGTTTTTTTTTTGTTATTTTTTTAAACGATAAAATACTAAAGAATTGTATGCTGTATCAACACAGCAAACTAGAACTGCCGATTCTCATGGTTCAGGCAAACACAAGAGATGACTCCCCTCCCCTGACGCCCTGTGTGTAGTTCTTGGTGGATGTCTGTGATACTAGTTCCCTGGTGGGTATCTCTGCAGACTTTCAGGTTTCCTGTCTTATCCTTCTGCCTCCCTCCCCACACAGGAATAGGCTGTTGGCAGAACAGTACTCAAGAATGGTATTTAAGGTTATTCTCTGCCGCATCGCTACTGGCTTAACATCACTACCTTGTTCTGTTCAGCTGCGTTTTACGTACAGTAAAAGTCTAATGTGGAAAATGGAAAAAAAAAAAATATTCTTACTAGGAAATAATCTGCATTCCAGACATCCTTGTGCTCAGTTCATCAGTTGTTTCTCATGGGATAGTTAAAACTATTCTTTTTAGATGATTCTTGAATTACAAGCTAGATTCAGAGTTGGCAATATTACCATTCTGATGTCATGTCTTTTTTTTTTTAAATGTGTTTACACTGTCATGTAGAAGACCATCTTTACAGTGGATGATCAGTGGGACAGCATAAAAACATGAACTTATGTTTTGTTGTGACATTCAGTTTTGAAACAGTAAGATTTTACCAAAACCCAATGTTAATTTCAACGTTCTCTTTAACATCTGTTGAAAAAAAACTGCTGTTTTTGCTGTGCATCCAACTAGGACTGTTCAATATTGTGGCAGTGAATGAGAATCTAAAAGTAACTAACTTGAGAACAAATGCAAAGAAGGTGAAAACCTCTCTGTCTTCATTGGTAATTGGAGATGTGTAGAAATGGTTACTGTTTGTGGTTTTGTTTTGTTTGGTTTTTTTCGGGGGGAAATAAAAAAAGCTTAATTTGTAAGGTTGAAAGCCAATAATAATCTAAGTATAATACTTTAGTTTTCTAATCTAGAGAAATATTCAACCCAAAGTTTTTTCTCTTAATTCCCTTTTATCTCTTTATATATCGAGAATTAAAATGTGATACAACGTCTTATTTCTGTGTATTTCTTTTTAATCATGTTGAAAAGTTGCTTTAATCTTACTGTTTTCCTCACATCATTATCAGAAGTTTAATACATGAAATAGCTGGATTCCGTTTACAAGGACTAAATAACACATGGAGAATAAGTAATATAAATGCTGTTTCGCCTTTTTTAGTAGATAATAGCAGTCTACTCTTCAGGTGAACACTGTAACGTTGGGAACTGCACCACCTGTATAGTTTCATGATTTGCTTTCTGAAATCAACATCATTTACTTCTGATGCACCAAGGCTGGGGAATTCCTGTGTGACATGAATGCCTTGCCTTAGAAACACTCAATATTTTCTGTTATCAGTGGAGTGTAGTAAATGAACTTATCAGATCTTGAGACTGAAAGTCAGTGTGTGTGTCTCAAATTGTAGCTTTGGAAAAGCATTTAAATAACTGATGAGTAATACAGGTAATCTGTTGTTGATCTTCACAAGAGTGTTGTATTTAGTGGATTATGCTGAAGCTTGCATCCTTTGCTTTTTGTTATACCAAAATAATTCATTCTCAGTGAGCTCCGTAATATATCTGGGAAATATATTTTCACTGGCTACCAGTACATTGCCATAATACAAATTTTCATTAGTCCAAAGGATAATGCAGTCCTAAAACGTTTGGGTTTGCAAAGTACTGTTGTTCTACTGGGTAGTAAATTTCTACGACAAAAATTACAAACCTTAATTCGTTTTCATATTGTTGTATTACTTTAACATAGACTAAAGAGATCAGTTTTATGAAGTGTTAAGCACTGTTCACTTCTATGTGAAAAGTGTTCACTGTTCATCTGCAGTGAAAAATGGCTATTTTCCACACATCTTTGGAGTTCTAGTAGAGAAATATCTGTATTTTAGTACTGATTGTGTAATACTTTATTTGGGAATGGTGCTTTACTAAATATAAAATTATTTTCATGATAAGTTTTACAATTAGAAATTGCATATTTAAAGCAGTATCTAAAATGTTCATGTATTTATGAATGCACATTCCTGACCATAGTAAATGAAGTTGTCCTATTAATTAAAATACAAATTTTGATAATGGATGTTGATTTGCAAAAGGCTGTTCCCCGTTGTGAAAGAAGAGATGACTGAAAATCAGGAAAAGGTTTGATGTTGAGAAGAGCTTGCTGAAAGCAGAAGGTGAAATTTAGTTTTTCTTTCATGTATTTCTTGTCTTTAAGAAGAGATACTGAATCTAATAGGGTAGCAGATACAGATATATTTAGATAGTCTGAAGTTGCAGGAGGCAGGCCAGAGACTGGGAAATTTAGGATAGGGTTTGAAATAGGTGGTTGACATTGTTTGGTACGCATAGATGGGTGGCTGTAGGTGAATGTAATGGGGCAAAAAAAGACATGAACCGAGAATCGGATGAGGAGGAAAGGAGGAAAGACTACAAAAGGATGGTGAGGAAGATAAGAACCAGTATAAACTCAAGTTGTGCAGTTGTGGAGCCTTGATCACAGGGGTGTGAGGAGTCGGTGTTTGAGAAGTAAACATTTTGGAATCCGGTGAAGGATTTCTGCTTGTCATGAGAAGGTTTCAGGAACAGGGTGATTGTTTAAAATACTGTCTTTTAAGATGGCTTAACAACAAAGGAAGTAGAGTGGAAAAGGGGAATTTGTAGTAGTTTGTGAGATAGCACAAGCTAGGTATTTTTTCATAGAGAAGCAAGGAGACTGAGAGATTTTAACACATACAGAAAGGAGGAACAGAAATGAGGATTTGAATGTCATTTGCGTACAGAGTCAAAAGGAGGACATTAGCAAATACTATTATACCTTACTATGTGTGCTAGTTAAAGAAAGTTTTCTCCAAATTGGGTAATGCCCGCGTTACAGTTCTGTAGCAGTTCCCTTATGCCAAAGAGTTCATTGGTCGTTCTCTTTCTATAGCTGAGGACATTAAAGTATGGAAAGTAACTTACTTGTTGAAGGTCACAAGTAAATAATAACGTGTATTAGAACTCCGCTTCATCTCAGGTCAAAGCATTCGTTCCCTGTGCCGCTGGTTTGGAAGGCAAGTTGGATGGCAAAGATACGTTCCTTCCTTTTGAAAACCAGGCTGCCAGTGCTTAAGTGAATACTGACATTTACTGAGAGTGACCCAAGGTTTTGAAATAACTTTGTAGTTAGAGGACACTTATTACACTTCTTCAGAAATAATTCGTAAGATTTTACTGATTTTTCTGCCCTGCCACCCCTCTGCCCCTGCCCTAGAAAAAGCAGTTTGTTTTCAAGCCAGTCTGAAAGGCTGTAATATGCACGGTTATACTT